GTATTCATTCCGTTTCTTTTCTGTTTAACAAGGTGTAAGCCAGACGCGATCGTGTCAGATTGGGCTCTCATCAAGTTGTCTCAAATAACAGTGATCCGTCACGACCAATGAGAGGGTTCGTGGCTGTTAAGCTGACACATAGGGAAATGCGAACCCCTGCCATATAGCCGCCACCCCCCAGCGGAGGTGCATGGCTTGACAGTTGGGAAGGAGTAGCCTAGGCCTGTGAGGCGTGCGACTCAGTCCATTTCCAAAATAGATATTCCTTCGAGTTCGGCTGTTATCACACTCTCGCTGCACACTGCGCGCGGGAATAAACCCGAGAAGCTGGAGAACGGGCTCTTCCCGACGCTACGGGGCGAGAATCATGCAATGTTACGGCTTCCTCCACACCATCTTGATATTAGCGGCAAGATGTGAACCAGTCGACGACGGTTTCATGAATCCCGCCGCCTGTACTAAGTCTTCCGAGAGCCTCCCCAGATCCTCAGCGGAGATCTCTCCTTGGCATGGACGGAATACGCTACCATTTGCCCCTATTACGAGAAGCTAGCGACTTAGCTTTCAGGAGACCCTAGTCAAGCTACTAGAGAATTTAGAGAATAAGATAAATATAATTACAATTGCACAACCACACACATTGGAACAGACCCAAACCTTTGGCGATGATAAGTCTATGGGGTATATCCATATGGCCAATGCATAACACGAATTTGTGGTGTAGAGAGTGCGTGGATAATGGATAATCGGCTAAAGTTCTAGACACTGGATATGTTCGGTTGGGAAAGGGAAACGCGGCCCCCATCACGATATTAGGACGAAGACGAATTGAGAGCCCGTGGCAATCGGCCAATGCTATCATCGTCGTCACTTCGTTCGGAGCTGACGTCTCTTGCTTGGGGGTTTCTGTTGAATAATCCACATAACAGCATCACCCTCGCGGGCCGAGAGCGGACATTTCCGTATTGATAGGGATATGTTTCATACTCAGAGACTCTGGTCTAAGGATATACATGCCCAAACACGTCGAAAATAAGCGTGTCTCGGGAGCTAAACCAAGGACCTTACAGTAGTAGGGCTCGTGTCAAATGACCTCATGACGTAGGTAGTACTACTGAAGCGGAAGCGAGAGGCGAGATAGACGCGGAACGCAACCTACGGTAGTATGTTGTATTATGTTGTAGTATGTAGTTAACATTAACGTGGACTAAGAGGCACGACACATAAGATTACATGCTAAGCTTTACGGCTGAGGAGCCAAGATTCCGCTTACATGTCTTGGTATCCTGTTCCCCTTGTCCGTTTGAAATTCCGAATTACGTACGGGAATCTTGCACTTTGCAATTCTTGTTACTCTATCCGTTTACCGCGTCCATTGTAGCTTCTGAATCCTTCCTCTGACTCTTCTCCCTTGCTCTCCCTTGCCCTGCTTACACCATCCCCCCGCGGCGACCCTCCATCAGCACCTAGTCGGAACAAAGGCTGGGGTAAGCTTTAAGGAACGGGATAGGCTGAGCCGTCCTGCGATTATCTGCGGGGTTAGGGCGACATTTCGTGCGTTGCTTGCACCATACGTGCCATTCTTTTTGCCAGTCCGAGTTCGATCTATCTATCACGATTCCCTTCTACTCACGCCATTCGCGCGTTTCCCTCTCAGATAGACGGCGAAGTTGCCGGCCGGTGATGGGACGGGAGGTTGAGGTTTGTTTAGAGCCGGCTAGCGGAGGGTCGATCAGCGGCCGTAAGGTGCAACCCTGCAGCCCATTGGGCAATCCGAGAGAACGGTCGAGATGTGGTCTCCCTGTCTTCCCATGTTACATGGTGGGAACTCGAACTGTGACTGAGCAGACAAAACACACATCCATACACAAGTACCTACATACGTAGCACAGCACACTCACACGCGGGGAAAGAAGGGTCTGGTTCAAAGTATCAAAAACCGTGATCTTTACCTACTATGATGAACAATCCTCGAGATAGTACTTTGGAGATTTCCCTATTTGAGACATAACTGGATCACACAAAGCCGCCACGATCACACACACCCTCCCCCAGCTCGCGAGCCAGACACGCACTAATGCGGCTGTCAAAAGATGTGAAAGATGTGATCTAGCCAAGAGCTGCATGCCATATTGGCTCTACCGTGCCAGATAGCATGTGCCGCCGGGGATATGCCTTACGCGACTTTTCGCAACCATGGTCCCAGGTCGGGGCCGCTCCAAACGGACACGATTATCCTTACCAGTACCAAAAAGTAAAACGAACCAAGAAGTTCTTTGCCCCTTGTCGCCACTTAAAAAGGTTGCTCGGGGAAAATCTTAAAACACGATGAATCTACAAGACCACATGCCAAATACCCACCCCAGGGCATTATAAACCTAGTAAATAATAGTAGTATGATAAACATACCCGCCCATACTAGTAGAGGGAAGGAATCGAGCAGCCGGCTAAGAAAACATAACCGGAATAGGAATGAGTAACCTCAAGTTCCCTAAGTCCCTACCTACCCAGAACTGAACCAGCCCCCTTACCTACCTTGCCCTACTGCTATCCTGGCCCCTTCTCTTAATCTCCGCTCCAGAGCACGGGAGACGCGGGCGCGCGAACGCTCTCTGGGTCGCCACTCCGTATGGGGGAACCCTTCCTACGCTCTCTTGTCAACGTCTGTTTAAACCCCCGCGCTGTCGCCGGCGGAGCCCAGGCCAGGCCTCCTCCTTTTCTCTTATCCCCCTCTCTCCCCCCATGATACATCCATCCACCCATACATACTACGTACATACTACGTACATGCCACGATACGAGGCCCCCGTTTCGCGCGCCTCGGCGTTGCGAAAGCAGGAAAACCTAGGTAGAGCCCGGAACCCGGCCTCTGCTCTACTCTACCTACTTGCTTTGCTTTGCTTTACTGTGCAAGAGACGCAAGTAGATAGAAACAGCGCGCCCCTTGAACGTATCTCCGTCGGAGGGCCATCCGAGGCGACGGTGTAACGATAATACCGGAAGTAACGGAGCTCCTGCAAGAACAACTTGTACGCCCCCCTGCACGCCAGTTACTTGCGTCTACGGCAATGTCCAGTAAGTCCATTTTGGCGTTGTTGCGTCCTCTCCCTTTAGGTATGCTAAGCTTTTTTTTGTTTTTGGCTATTCCTGCTGACGTGAGTTGCTTAGGGAGTACGGTATCCCACAGGGACCGAAGAAGTACTGTATGTACATACTACTACATGTCAGTAAGGCTGGCTGGCCGTTGTCATCCGCACTTCCTCGCCAACAAGATCTGATCTTACGGCACGCGCAATTGTCTGACGACGGAGCGGGTGATGCCTTTTACCTTACCTTGTTGAAGTAAGAACAAGGGGAGAAAGGGGGAGAACGGGAAAGGGGAAACGTAAGGCGGACATGGCAAAAGAGACCAGGCCGCAATAACGTGGACGGTTGTCCGAGGGAAGGCTGGCGTGCAATGTCCTACTCCTGTCCTGGGGTTTGGGGCTGCTAATTGCCTATTGCCTATTGCCTATTGCCTATTACACTGTCCTGTCATGTTTCTTCCTTGCCTGCGCGGTCGACCCCGCGAAAGCAGATCGATCGACGCGGAGGAATCGTGATGCAATCTTTGGTAAGACGAGAGATGTCAATGTGTGTGCGCGTACGGCGCGTTCCTATTCTCACTCTCCTCCTTCTTCTTTTCTCCTCCTTCTTCTTTTCTCCTCCTTCTTCTTTTCTCCTCTTCTTCCTGGCTTCCCGACCTTCTGATGAATCCGAGTGATCAGTGACTGTGACTGATCATGATCACGCATCATGTATCTAACTTGCTCACTTGCCCGTTTTCCGTCAGGGCGCCGTCATTGTTCCCGACGGGTCCGGCGTTGGCCTTCCGTCGTGCTCCCAAAATCCTTTTCGCGCGCCCCAGAGTAGAGTCCGGGTAGCACTACATTACCTGTTCTAGGCTCTTAAGTGCCCGGGTAGGTAGGTAGAATAGACACGGGGAAGGAAGTTGAGCCCTCCCGGCATGGCATTGGCATTGGCATCGCATGGACATGTCTTATTTCGAGGCTGGGCCAAGCCTCTCTAGTTGCACGGAGTCTGACCAGATTAGCGCCGCAGAATCTCACGATGCAATGCAGATAAACCCTAAGCATAACCTAGACAAAATGTCATTGTTACCTACGCCGAGAGAAAAAAAAATCCGAGGTCGCGCGGGCTGGCGTCTGTGGAGGTTTTAGTTGGACAGCCTGCCTTCGAGAGGGAAGGATTCAGTTGAAGGGTAGCAGTTTGACACGCCACAAGGCCGCCACAAGATCGGAAACGGGGGGGTTTTTAGGGCAGGGGAGTTGGGAGAAAGACAGGTAAGATCGGGTCTAGATCCGGTACATGTCTCGGATTCGGTGCGTCGCCAAGCAGAAGCGGTATGTACGGGTAGAGTAGATCGATTGCCGCATACACTGACCGACTGGTAGGTCTTCTAGAAGGTCGTACGCGTATACTTTAGCGCATTATACTATCGTGTAAGGCCATCCTATAGACGCCCAGAGATGCCTGGGTAGGTAGGCAATGTACGTTGTGCGATGCGTGTGTGTAAGTGTAAGTGTATGTACGGGTGTACGGATGTACGTATGGTGCTATGCTCGGCGTGTGCTGCTATTGCCTCTAGGCGAGAGGCGAGGTTTGATTCCGGGCCAGCCTGAAACGCTGCAGTCTTGGTTCCGAAAAGCAAGAAAGCGAGAAGCATGCAACAATCAGGCCAAGCAGCAAGCAAGCAAGACATACTGCAGATGGATGAGTTCAGCTTTTGTAAGCCGACATCATCTCTGAATAATTCAACTTGAATGGGCGAATATCGCTTGCCAAGGCGATTAGCGTATCTTCTCTGAGTCTTTTTTTGACGATGCTCGACTTCAGGATATATCGGCAATTCTCCTGTTTCTCAACTCCATCTCGAGGTTCTTCAACCATGTCGTCGATGTTTTGTTAAGACTCACTTTGATGTACGTATAATAAGGGGTATTCTAGTACTAAGTTACCTCCGATTATAGTGTCTACGGGTAGTAGTTGCGACTCAAGTTAGCGTATGTAAGTAATAGAATTGGACCTCGGTAATTCAATGAGGCCCAAGCTCCTTTTCCAATTGAGTTTCTAAGCTTTGCGGCTTCGGCTAAGCTTTGCGTCAACTGTCTCATCCTTCACCTTATCACCATCTTCATCACCGTCACTCCAATTCGCGAACTCTTGTCAAATTTACAAACATAGATACCTACCTACCTAATCAGATCTCACCCACAAAAATCGCGAAAGTACACCCGTTTCAACCGTACGTTTCGTGTTTCACCGCCAGGGAAACTAAAATCAAGCCGTAAGAAAAGCCACGCCGGCAATGGCTTCCTCTAATAATCCGGCAAAGTGCGCCACCGATCTCCTTCGTCGTGTGTCATCGTAAGATCGTAAGATTGCGCGTGAGAGCTAACCGCCTCCCGCCCTCTCCTCATAGGCCGGTGCACATCCTGTTCGTTGGCGCCGGCGCCGTGGGCTGCTTCTACGCATCCCGACTGCATCATGTAGGGACCGAACCACTCCTCTCGTCCAACTCTCGGCAGGAGAACGCGCGCTGATAGTCGTTCGGACGGGGGGGAGCACGGCATTCGCCACGCCCGTTTTCCCTCCATTTTCGAAACGAAAAAACAGCCCTCGCAGAATGTCTACGCTTCGCTCATAGCGCGCTCGAATTACAAGGCCATTATCGCCGCCGGCGGAAAGGTCGAGCTGCAGACCCATTCCTTCGGGAACTACACTTTCGCGCCTTATGCCGTGTTCCCCAACATCGACGCCGCCGTCCCGAGCGCGTCGTCATCATCGTCGGGTCCTGAGGCTGCTGTTGGTGGCGAGAAGAGCGCGGGTACGGGTACCCCGCCGAGCGAGGGGTGGGACTACATCATAGTCACGACGAAAGCCCTGCCCGACCGAACCGACGATGCGGCGATGGTGGCGCCGCTCGTCAGCGAGAAGTCGTGCCTCGTGCTGATACAGAACGGCGTCGGCGTCGAGGCGCCGTACCGCGCGCGCTTCCCGCGCAACCCCATCGTGAGCGCCGTCACCGTCATCAGCGCAGAGCAGATCCGGAACGGGGTCGTCCGGCAGAACCGGTGGACGCGGATCAGCCTGGGCCCGTACGGCCACGGGCTCGGCGCACCTCCCGGTGTGGGCGACCAGGCCGGCGAGGAGCCGGTAGCGCGCCTCGGCGACGAGCGCATGCGCGCCCTCGCGCGCTGGTGGACGGCGCTCGGCGGCATCCGCGACGTCGAGACGCACTCGGAGCTCGAACTGCAGACGATCCGGTGGCACAAGCTGTGCATCAACGCGGCCTTCAACCCGACGGCGGTGCTGTCGGGCGGCCGCGGCAACGCCGACCAGCTGACGGACCCGGAGCTGCGGGAGCACGTCCTCGGCATCATGCACGAGATCCGGGACGCCGCCCCCTTAGTCTTGGGAAAGCCGTTGCCGGATACGCTGGCGAGCCCCGAGAAGATCGTGAAAAGTACGGAGAGGAATACGGGGGGGAGGCCGAGTATGCTTTTGGATTGGGAGGCGGGGCGGCCGATGGAGATTGAGGTTATTTTGGGGAATCCGGTGAGGATTGCGAGGGCGAAGGGGGTGCAGATGCCGCGGTTGCAGAGCTTGTATGCGTGTTTGAGGAGTATGCAGAGGATGAGGGAGGAGAGGGAGGAGAGGGAGAAGGGGAAGGGGAAGTTGTAGATGTGGATTGGGGTTGGGGATTGGGTTCTGGGTTAAGTTGGATCTTGTTCCCTGAGCTGATACCTTTGTGTTTTGGTATATACTCGTCGCGTAGGTATGGTACGTGAGGTTTCGCTGCACACTTGTAGACCTGGTGACTCGTGAGATACCATAGTGAGTAACTACACGACTTGTCCTTGACAGTGTTGATCATAAAACTCAATACAAGAATTTATGTGTTTACCTGGGTAATGTGTTCATAAAAGGGATATTTAGGGTGCCATATCGAGCATAAGGGATGTCGTCTGTTCGAAGAGGAGGTGGAGGTTACGCCTTTAACTTCTAAAGAAATATACGTCAGCAGAATATCTCACAGCTTACTCTGAGCTTGGCTCTTAGCTGACATTACTCTCATGCCTTTTACGGTTATGTTTCCTGCAACAATTGAGCATTCTTAGCATTGACCGTCATTTGGTCATACTAAGGATGAGACTGATTTGATGTTTATGAGATTATTCAGGGGCTGAGTCCAATTACAAGAATAATTAGGTATGTTAAGGAGTCCCCCTTTTTAAGCATTTATGCCAAGCTCACACATATTTCACATTATTACAGAGAGTAGACATCATCTAACATCACAGCCATTGGGTGCCAGGTCTGTTGCATAGGTAGGCAGTAAACGGTATGGTTTATTAAGGGGAACGGAGCGTTCAGTGCTACATGCTCCCACGAAATGGCGAGCTAAATACACCCACGCTCAGCTAGGTAAGCTAATCAAGGGTTAACCCTTATAGTAGGATGGATCGCCTAGGTATTTACCTTCGTGACAGCTAAGGGCTCAGGTTACTTATCTACCTACTCATCATGGCGCTTAACTTCGGCACGGACTTCGTGTGCGTCCACGGTCTTCGCGTCGTTGAGCCTAGTACTGTATCGACGGAACTTCTCGGGCATGGCGATAATATGCATATGTAAATGCGCGACTGTATTATCGGGCCACAGGTGAAATCCAAAAGCGAAGTGTTCGAACTTAAGTTGATGTACTATTCCCTTTAGCTCTTGCCATTGTTGTCTCGCTTGAGCGCGGCCCTCTGTGCCTTGGTTCTCGATGGCGTTCCTTTGGTGTGCAAGAACGGCTTCGCGGAACTCAGGTCGCTTCCACTGTTCTCGAAAGAAATTTATCATATCATTGATAATGGATGCTTCGTGTTTTCTCAATGATACAGCATTGAAATAGTTGGCCCTCGAGATTGCGAAGATATGTATCATGGACATTCCGGCCGCTTTTGGGTCTCCAGGATATTGGCCCTCGGAAAAGGAGCTTCGGTTGCCTATGAGTAAAACCTTGTCACTGACAGCAAATTTAACAACTTCCTTATTGTTTTCCGCGTCAGTAAAGGCGGTCGTAGCCTTTATCCAGTTGTCTCTCTCTGGTATTAGATGACCTTGCCGATTCAAATAAGCATTCGCATCACGCCGGGCACCCTCCTGCTTTAGGAAGTACTCAAAACTCTCATGGATGAAGGGGCTCTTGCCCTCGAAATTTTTAATCGACATTGTGTTTTTCTGTGGTTATACACTGTTGGTCGATTCAGGGGTGATTGCTGATGCAATCCCCCTAGGTCAGTCATGTCGAGCTCAATTATATCTACATATATCTTCGTATCCTTTGTTCTTGATGTTGGTAATATGCCTTATTCCCTTGGAAAAGACTTAGGCACCTGATATGAGCTCTTCATATATTTCGAAACACAACCCAGCTCAGCTTCTAAGAGAACAAAGGGAAGTTCCTTGGCTGGTGTAGCATGGCAAGGAGCACCTGAGGTTGCGAGTCTTTGTCTAAGGTAATTGCTGGGAGAAGAAATAGGGAAATCGGTATTCTACGTGTATCTCTGTCAATTGAAAATAGTACCTACCCCTATCGCATTCCTTTTGAATGATGTATCCTGTCCATGCACTCATATGTTTACAAAGAATACCGAAAACTAAATATGTATCATCTTGTCTCTATTTTGCCTTCCTAAGAAATCAGCCAGGTATCTATGGGCAATGGATCATATTTGAGGCATAGTATCTCATAATTTACTTGGGTTTCATATCTTTTATAACATCTAGACTTAGAGAAAAATCGAATAAGGGATACATCAGGGGCAACTAAGTTGATTAATTAATCTACGGTAACTTATCTAACCTACTGACGGCTGAGGATATAGTCGCGGACCTCAAGAGCGTCCTTGGTCTTGTCGTCATGAACGAAGGTACTGTACTGGCGGCACCAAGGAGGCGTGGCGATGATATGCATGTGTAGATGACCAACACTGTGGTCGGGCCACAAGTGCAGACCGAAAGTGAAGTCATCCACGGTCAAGCTATCAATCCGACGCTGCAGCTCCTGGTAATGTACCATGGCTTTCAAGTACGTGGCCGGGTTTTTCTCATCCTTGCTACGTTCGATGGCCTGCTCCTGGTGCTTTAGGATTGCACTACGGAATTCGGGCGACGCCCAGTTCGACTGGAAGCAGGCGATCATCTCGTCGATGATGTGTACGTTGCTACGGTCTAGAGATACGCCGTTGAATAAGTTCTCCTTGGGGATCCCGAGAATGTGGATCATCGACATGCCGGCCCGTCCTTCGTTGCCTGGGTACTGCACCTTGGCGAACGAGGAGTGGTTACCAATGATCAGTGCATTCTCACTCGAGGCGAGCACGTTCCCGGTCCATGCTGTGAACGGTGTTTTGGCCTTGATCCACTTGGGCTCGTCGAGAAATACGTGACCCTCGGTACGGTCGTAGTACGCGGCTACGTCTACTTTGGCTGTGGCCTGGCTATGGAAGCGCTCATACTGCTCTGCGATCTTCTCGGACTTGCCTGCGAAAGTACGGTTTACGACGTTGTTTTCCATGATTTGAGTATTTTACTTTTCTGTTTACTGCTTGCTGTTATGTTGCTGCTGCTACTGCCATTCTCCCAACTCACTCATCTCGAACTCGATTCTATATACATCGTAGCTTCTCTTTCTTCTCTTCTGTACTTGATTCCAAGGCAGTCATCTTGCTTTGTTCGCATATAGAGTGAAAGCACTGATGATGCCTGAAGAGACAAAGCGGGTAGGAGCATCTTAACCCCTAAGCAACGATTCATTGAAAGATAACAGCGGAGTCTTCGGGCTACGTATTCGAACATAGGCTGTGTTATTCCTTTGATATCTGAATATGAGAAAGAGTAACTCAAAGGGTGATACAATGCATTGTATGGCTAATTTGCTTTGGGAAGAAGGATCACAATGCGTCAACTTTTTCACGTATTTCTTAAAAACAGTAGCTAGAAACTTGGCCCAAACTATTCGTAGGTATTATTAAACTACAACGTGAACTTGATGTAAAGATACAACTTTTCTGTTTATCTACCGGAAACCATGATCTCAGGGGCTCAACTTGGTGTCGTATGAGAGAAGCCATTCTGTTTACCAATGACACCCTTCATCAACTACCTAACTATTCTTCAGTTACTCCTACTATTGTTTACCTAGGTTAATACTTGAAGTTTTATTTCGGTCATGATGTTGGAAAATAAGAAACCCATGATGAAAATTACCTTGAGACCCGGCTCACATCATGATATAATTTCATCAATAGGTACTTCATTAGAATATTACGATTGTCTACCTGTGGTCCATTATATCAATGCATTAAGCAACATCTAAGGGATTTACACTAGATATTATGAACCTTTAAAACTTCAGTTGAAGGGGCGTAACTCATTGACATACCGACTTTTGTATCTTTATTTGTCGGAGCATAACCCTAACCCTGACCCCAATTACCCCTCAATTGGAGATCAGCCTTTAGCAACATGATCTAGGTGCTATTTCGGGTTTACATGCAAGTCATTGTAGGGATACTCCACGACCATATACTACATCTGGGAAGTTATACGTATATGGGTTGGTCTTTGCTTACTTAAAATTTGAAACAGGAATAAGTTCCCGTTAGGGCTAGATGTTCAAGCTAAGCTTTTCCCCCGGAAAAAATAACCCCTGTCATCTCCACGCTAAGCAAAACATGGAGATGGGATGATATCATTTGCGGCAAGGATCGATTTCATTTGCTGTATTTGTATTGGTCGGTGTATCTCGGGGCCTTTTAGTCTCGAATGCTCCAAAGACCTTCTATTCGCGTTACCCCGTGGGCCTCAGCTAGAGCTATCGTCAAACAGGCAAGGCCGCGTAAGATGGCGCTCCTCTCTACCTTGCGAAAAACGAGCAGTCGGCACATGAGTTGCCATTTCGCGGCATGTTTGAACCGATGGAGTTATACAATAAACGCGATCCATTCGTCAATTCGAGAGGAGAGAGGGGGAAGATTCCCCGTCTCCATCGAACAGTGGATGGTACTGTATGTACTTATGTCAGGGCACTAGGGGTACTGCCAGGCATGTACATATTCACAAGAGCTGATAATAGTGAAGTGAATACGATAAATGACTAAAAACCACGGCACTGGCACCTTTGCATAACTCTTATCCAAAGCCACTATTTTCAGCCAATCTTTCTATTTAACTTCTTTTCTCCTTACTTGGCATACAACGGGCGCACCGCTATAGTTTCCAAGAACGCGACGGCTGTTTCAATGTTTCAACGGTTCTAACGCTTTGTATTTGTTGATTTTGGTGTCTGAATTATTTATTGTATCTTCAGCCTCCTTTTAGAGGGATTGATCCAGGATCACCTGTCGCAAAGATGGATATCATCAAAGGGGACGACCTGGAGCCCACGCAGGACAGACACGAAGACACAAGCGCCAGCGTCGACGAAAAAGCCGAGAACAATGTCTATCATATCGATCCCGCCATTGAAAAGCGAGTTATAAGAAAGATAGACCGAGCCGTGATTCCTTTGGTTATGGGACTCTGTGAGTGCTTCATTCCGACCAGCATCCCGCGCAGCCTCATTACTCATTCTCGTCTTTTAGATCTGGTCGCTTTCCTAGACCGTTCAAACATAGGAAATGCCGAGACTGCCGGAATGTATGTGCCTTCAAATTCAACAGTTTCTACGTGTGGTTTTTTTTCTTCTTTTTTTCGGTGCCATGACCCTTCGTAGCCCACGTTCTGTGGTCTGTCAAAAGCGAACGGCGCCCGCTAGAAACGGCTTCTGAGTCATAGCGCTATGCTAACAGCCGGCTTTCTTCCCCGCAGGAGCAAGGACCTAAAATTTGACGATGCTCATTATCAGGTTTGTTGAGAGATGGATCTCTCCGGTAATTCGCATTATACTAATATCTTGGCGATGTAGTGGTTATTGACGATATTCTATATTCCGTATAGTAAGTTTTTACTTAGCCTTAAATTCAAGCTTCTTATACTTATACTATACCTCTCGGCAATGCTAACTTTTTCTCATAGTCGTCTTTGAGTGGGCCGCATTGATGTGGAAGGTTATACCTCCGTAAGTTCCGTTCCCCTTGTCAAACAATTGAGTCTTAAACTAACGAGCGTCTATAGTCACAGTATGTTATATCCTTGCTTCTTTCGTTTAAAGGCTCGGGAGCATCATACGACATATAAATTTGTCAGGTGTTCTTAAGATGGACTTCACTATTACAAATTATTATTATAGACTTATTCTTTTTATACATTACCTACTAACTGGCGCATCTTAGTCTGGGCATGTTGCTGTGTACTCGCATGGTAAGTTATCTCATCATAACAATGTACTTATCAGAAACTCATGAATACTCAGGGGCTTAGCCTCGACTCTCCAGGCCGCGGCCTTTAATTGGCAAGGTCTAATGGTCTGCCGATTCTTCCTCGCCATGGCCGAAGCCGGTTACGGGCCCGGCGTCCCATACCTACTCTCTTTCTTCTATAAGAGGCACGAGTTAGGTTTTAGATGCGGTATCTTCCTTTCCGCCGCCCCTCTCGCCACAACTTTCGCGGGAGCGCTGGCCTACGGGATCACCTCAGGCCATCCCAGCATACCCAACTGGAGAGTCCTGTTCCTTGTAGAAGGACTCCCTTCAGTTATCTTAGCGGCAATTGCCTATTTCTACTTGCCCGATTCCGCAGACACAGCGAAGTTCTTGAACGAAGATGAGAAGCGGGTTGCTAAGCTACGGGCGATTCAACAGACGGGAAGCGAGGGAACGGAGCGTATTGGACACGTTGATTTAAAGGACGTTTTTATGTCGCTATTGGATATAAAGACTTGGATCCCTCCTCTGAGTAAGTGCGCCAAGATTCTAGATTCAAAATTTCACCCCCTTTCTCTCGAAGCAACAATGGCTAACTGAGTTCTCCACAGTGTACTTCAGTTGCAATGGTTTGTGACATACCCTTCGAATCACTTACCGTAAGCAGAAACCAGACTAACCACCAAAAACAGTCTCCTTCAGCAGTCTCCCCGTCTTCCTGCCCACCATCCTGCAAAACATGGGCTTCACCGCCATCAACGCGCAAGGCCTCAGCGCGCCCCCTTACTTCCTCTCCTTCCTAGTCTGCATCGCGACGACCTGGATCGCCGACAAGACGCGGCAGCGGGGGCTCATGATCATCGCCTTATCCCTCGTCGCGGGAGTCGGCTACATCCTGCTCCTGACCTGCAAGAGCGTCGCCGTGCGTTACTTCGGGGTCTTCCTCGCCGCCGCCGGCGTCTTCCCCGCCATCTCCAACATCCTGCCCTGGACCATCAACAACCAGGGCAGCGACTCCAAGCGCGGCGCCGGCATCGCCCTCCTCAACATCGTCGGCCAGTGCGGCCCCCTTCTCGGAACGCGAGTGTTTCCCACTACCGACGCGCCGTATTTTCACATGGGCATGGGCCTGTGCGCCGGCTTCATGTTTTTCAACGCGTTGTTGGCGCTCGTCCTGCGCACGTATCTGGCTTGGGAGAATAGGAGGTTCGAGAAGGCGGATGAGGCGGCGCGGCAGGCGGGTCTGGATCCGGCGGCTGGCGCTGTTGGGGTTGAGAACGAGGGGTATGGGTTTAGGAACTTTTTGTAGGGGACGCGAAGTTAGCGTTGGTGATGATGAAGGCTTCTATGAATTAGATTGGGTTATGAGCTTCTAAGCTCTTGCGAAGGTTGTAACTAGCGGCTATGTTTTAGCTACATAGACTGTCGTTATGGTAGATAGATGAGTACTATGTAGGTAGAGAATCATGATGTACGGTTCTCCCTTGTCAATGGCAATCAGTCAATCTCATATAAGAATTGAAAATTCCGGCTTTGGTAGATCTACAATAAGACGCTCATAAGTCCCATATAAAGAGCGTGCCACCGTTTTGTCAAGTGAGACCTGGTACAACCTCCCATTTCCGCCCTTTCACACCCAATCCCACACACCACCCTCTCCTCCCCCTTACCTCCCTACCCCTACACAACAACCACCTCCTTAACCCCCCTCTCCACAACCGCCCTCTCATCCCCAACCCGTCCATACGTCTCCCCATACCGATCCAACATATGCTCCTCAGCCGTCAACGCCCTCCCGCCCCTTCCCACCGCCATGGGCGCGCTCCCATCAAAGGGGGCCAGCTCAACATCCGTGTTTCCGTCGAAGAAAAAAGGGACGGAGTACCGGTCGCGGCCCGACCGGTTGACGACGCGGTGCACGGTGGATTTGTACGCGTTCTTCGTCCATAGAGCTAGCATGTCGCCGATGTTGACCACGTACGCGTCCGGGTCGGGATGCACCGGGATCCAGGTCTTTGTGAGGGGGTGCTGGACTTCGAGGCCGCCCGAGGAGTCTTGGAGGAGGAGGGTTATGGCGCCTTGGGGGTTACGGTTAGCTATTTCCTTACCTACCTACCTAGGTAATTTCCTTTTTTTATGGTTATTTTCGAAAGGGGGAGAAGGTGGTAACAACACGCAATGAGAAGGAGAAGCAAGCAAGGAAGGAAGAGGGCCTCACCGAAATCCGTATGCGCCCCTGCACCAAGCTGCTTCTCGTCATTCGAGTCCTGGGGCGGGTAGTGCAGCAGTCGGATCGCGCACACGGGATCCCCCGAGATGAACGGGACGAAGACGTCGTTGCCGTACGGCAGACCGCGGGCCAGGATCTCCATGACCTTGCACGACAGCGCGAATATGGCGTCGTAGTACGTTTCCGTGGGCGTCTTGAGCACCTCGTCCGGCAGCTCGGGAGGGAAGATGTTCGGCCCGATGAGGTAGGGGTGCGCTTTGGAGCGGGGGTCTGAGGCGGGTATGTGTTGCCCGATGAAGAACCCCTGGTGTTGGTTAGATGGGAATGATTCTAGTGTGATTCTCCAGATGGATTGCAATGGAGCAGGTAGGTTTAAAACTTGGATAAATCTTGTAGGATAGAGCATAGCAGGGTCTTACCTCCTTGAGATCGGGCTTGGTGTCTGCTTGTAAGGCCTATCTCAGTTCAAAACTAAGGCGTTAGCAATGTTTATTTCGTTTTATCATGTAAAAATCCTCAAATTTCGGTATTCTGACGAGCCGTTGGAAACATGTCCCTCATCTCAACTCAATAGCCACTTACCTGTGAGCCGATCACCTCGTAGCCCCTATTCTTCAAGACCGGCACTCGCATCTTTTTCTTTTCCTCTAGCGGCAGCTTGAAGAATGTCTCTGCAGCCTTGAAAACGCTGTCCCGCAGCTCCTTCGGTACTCCATGGTTGGTAATCTGGAAGACTGGGAGAGTTGAATTAGCAGTTCTCCCTTTTCTAAGGTGAAATATTGGTATGAGAGTATCAACCCTATCTAGAATTCATAACCACGGATACCTAATAAACCGCCAGATAAAGGTTACAGCCAACGATCCTAGAAATTTATCACTTACATCCGCTCGTGACACAAGCCTGCCTTACCTCCTCGATTACCCTCGCCGACGCCTCTGACGTCGGGTCCTCGAGGTACGGCGATATATCGACCGTCGGTATGACGAAAGCGTCTTCAGCAGCCATTACGGTGGCTCTTTCCTCTTCCTCTTTGATATCTAATATAATCACTTAAATCATTGACTTATACACTTAGGCCTAACGTGTTAGGCCGTGAGGTTAGAAGTATAACATTACAATGTTAGAATCACCACGTCTTCTACGATATTACGTCTTACTCCATTTTACGGAATATGCTTAAATATGTAACTAGTCGAGTATCATCCTGTACCCCACCCTTGAGCTTGGAGGGTGATGAGTGCCGTCTGCGAGTATTATGCAAATCCTATCAGCGGGGAACTGTTACGGAATACGCCGTGTGCCGGTTGCTGCATACTTGTTATCAACATCATCCAGGTCGTTGCCGTTGCTATACCTTAAGTGCGTATCAAAAGTGGAATTGCTACGCATATTCGATGCTGTTATAAATTCAGAGTGGTGGCCAACCGAGTTCAAGAGTGGGGTGGTATAAAAGTCAAATGGTTGCATCGTGTCTAGCTTCACTTTAATATAAATCTGCGTTCTTCAGGAATTCTGAATTAATCGATTGCTTGTTGTCCTTATGGTTACATTGCCGGACGCCGAAAACAGTCCAAATAATCTTACATAGGCTCTTGCCTAGTGAACGTGCTCCCTTAGTACCACCTAGTATTCCCCCGTTTTAATTCCCGAGACTGTAATGTATGCTCGATAAGGGGATTGCCCGACGGTCGAACTGAATATGCTGCTATAGAAAGCGGCATACTTGTTGTGTGACGTCGGGCTAATCCGTGGTCATATCCCTACTATGCTAATGCTGATGTAGTGCTCTTACTTGCTCCCGTTTCTATGCTTGCGGCGATTTTTCTTCTTGTGCCCCTTATGCGCCGAAGATGTACCTTCGTCCGATCCCGCCGTCACAGTGATCTCTCCTTCGTCTTCTTCTTCAGCTTCTGATAGACTACTGCTGGCCTCGAGTATGACTTTGGTGATACCACCGGATTCGACTATGTTTTCAGTTATACTGCCACTGCGTACGTGACCTCTTCGACGGCCAATACCGTCTTGTATGCTCTCGATGCTTGACGTAGATCCTTGCGTAGGCGAAGTCTCATCATTGGCTGTAGCACTGAGCTTGGTTTGTGTACCTCGGGTTTTCTGCTCTGAAGCCTCCCCATCGAAGCTAGTCACGATCTCAGGGGTTGTGTTGGACTTGGCGGTGGAACGAGGTTCGGTGTAATTCTGCTGAAGGGCTTGGATGCCATCCTTGCCGTCTTTGGCGTTGAGTCGAGAACCGAGAAGACTTGAGCGTTCGTCTACGACAGCTATTAGGTCATCGGGTATAGCATCTGTTGCGATAGAGTCCTGTTGTCGGGCGCCGGAGTTTGAGTTTGCTGCTGGTTTAATTTTGACGGCTGCGACTCGTGTGCTCTTTGGATTAGATGCTGGGTTAGATGGGCCAAGATGCTTGAAGTGATCTCTCATTTCCTCAAAATTGGCTTTAACCGGTATAGTCGTATGCATTAGCTGACCGTCCTGGCCGGCTGAGCGCCTTCGCATTAGGAACGTCGTCATCTTTGGGCTGGAACTAAGAACAGAGGTCTCAGTCCTGCTACTGACAGAGCCAGTTCTTTTATTCTTGAACGGGTGCCCGTCTTCCTCATCTATGTCGATCAGCGTGCCATTCCTGTTCTCAAGGTCCTTAGCCATGAGTTCCTTCCTCATTGCCCTAGCCTTAGGCGCGGGATGAGATCTGCGAATAGCCTTATGAACATCGACATATACGTCTGACTCATCAATGATTTCCCTATCAATTGTTAGTGAGTGGATATTCAAAATTGTGGACAAGTTACTTACTCTCCAATGAGCTCTTCAATGACATCCTCAAGTGTTACCACGCCTAGAGCACCATGATCTTCACCTGGCGACTCTGAGATGAGTACCATATGAGATTTGCCTTCTTGGAAAAAGTTGATGATATCCAGACAGCTGGTTTCTGGTCGGGTCTCGGGTAGGGCAGCGAGGGCAAAATCCTTGACTCGTTTACCATCCTCGGGATCATAGGTGATGAGGATTTTGACCAATAGCATGCCCACAAAATTTGTTGGTTTGCCCGTCTGATGAATGGGAATGCGAGAATAACCGGCGTCGAGAATCTGATCAATAGTCTTCTCATCCAACACGGTATCCTCCGACATGATATAGACATCTTCCATAGGGGTCATCACCTCCTCAACTGCCTTGCGTTTCAGATCCAGGACAGCGCTGATGATAGTTACCTCATCTTGATTCAGACGTTCACCAACGTCACCGAGCGACTTGTGTAGTGTAACTAATGTCTTTAATCCACTCTTCTTATATACAGTCCCGTGATCTTCTCCGAGGAGCCAATCGAGTAGCTTCGCGGTGGGCCATGCGATCGGAGCGAGTAAGTACATCATTAAAAGGACGGGCTTGGACATATATCCGCCGATCTGAAGACCGTAACGAACGCATACGGACTGTGGCAAAATCTCGCCGAAGATGACTATAGTAAGTAAAGCATATTAATATAACTAGGAGACAGCTATATGGGCGGGTTATAAAATATCTTACCAATAAGGACAGTACTTCCGACAACAGCTGCGACACCACCACCAAAACACCTGTCTAAGACAACGGGGAGGGTTTCGTTCACGATGACATTAGACAGGAGCAACGTCACCAAAACCCAATGTTTACCCTTCTTAAGTAGATCGAAGACACGTTTCGCGTTTTTCCGTTGAGGTTCTTCGAGGTCGAGTGATATTACTTGTAGATATATTTCGTCCTGGCCCATGAGCGCAATCGTCAAGCCGGCAAAAGCGCCTCCTAAAAGTACAAGAATAATCGACACGGCATAAAGCACCCAGAGGGCGCCACCCTCAGCTTCTTCGGGGGCATTGTCAACGGTACGAGAATGATAATTTATCGGGGCGGCGGTTGCTAGGCCAAGAGACAGGAATAAAGCTCTAGACAGGCTAAGAACAGCTGTGCGAGCACGAAGGATGCCTTCGTTTCCCATGCTTTTGGAGTATTTGGGTGGAAGAAGATCGGTAGAGACAGGCTTCAAAATTGAGTCGAGCGAATAGGAAAGAGGATCGAGCGGTCGGAACGTGCTACAAAATTTTATATTGAGGGTGAAGTAATATCTCCTTGTGATAGGTAATTGTTTCGGCGGAGCGCAGGCGGCTGTGCAGATTCACAGATCACCTCGGCCGAGCCAAAACAACCAGATATCCGAGTATCAGATCTGCTATCTAGGCTTGAGAGATTAATAGATGAGGTAGTTATGAATATGGCCAAAAGACCATTTCATCCATTGAAGATATCGCGATTCGGATTAGCTCGATAGCGGTAGAGTAGGTGGTGGTTGCATGGATATGCTGCAATATTGGCGTTGGCGTTGGCGGTGTCAGATTTCAAGCTACAGGGTCGGAACGAGACGAAGAAAGCGGATATTCAGTGTTGCTCAGCGGACGCTTGATGACGAACGGGTTATCCAATTGATGACGAGATAAGACTAAGAACAAGCTCTTGTGGGGAAACAAAGATGCGAAGTAAAAATCCTACAATCCTACTGGGCGCTTGTGGCGGAAACGAGCCGAGGAAAGTAAGTGGGCTGGAGCTACCCTTGTAAGTCCTACCAAACTGTGGCTAAGGAATCGAGATTTGGCTGAACTTTGTTTTATGTAGGTACAAAGTACCTCAGTAAGAGCATTAGGTAATCATCCGATATTCATATGTTTTCGTTGGTATCGTCTCATCTTTACTTCTATAATTATAGTCTAATGTTTAATCATACCATATAGCATTCATCCCAAACCCCGGTTCGGGAATCCTACACCTAGCGACGCGACCCAAGAACTCGTCCTTCCACCGATATATCTCGATCCACCCGTCCTGATCATCCGTGATCGCCAACCACTCCTCGCTCCAATCGCACGGCGCAACCGCATTGCTGTGCCCACCGCTCGTCGGCGTCGGGTTGAGGCAGATCTGCTGCTCGATCGACCCGCAGTCGCGTAGCCGGAACGCGGCGATGTAGCCCTGCAGGTCGAAGCTGTTGGCCCGGCTCGTCGCGAACAGGTACCGGCCGGACCTCGTGAGCGCGCACACGTCGCTGCGGTACATCGTGTCGTGCTTCGGGATCCCCGGCGGGATCAGAGGGTACGCGTGGTGCGTGTAGACGGGCATGTGCGTCGCCGGGTCGATGACGTACTCGCAGAGCCGGTTGCCGGCCTCCATGAGCGCGTATAGGTAATTGCCCGTCGGGTGCATCGCCACCCAGCGCGGGTGGTCCTTCGGATCCGGCGCGTCTACGCTTCCCACCAAGTCTACTTCGCCAGACGGCGCTTTCTTATGCACCCATAGCTTGTTCGCTTTCAGGTCGGCCGAGTAAAGGTAGGTCTCTGTCGGATCGAATACCATGCCGTGGATACCGGTGTTAGGTTGGTACGGGTAGTGCTGTATGTCATTTTCGAGAGCGCCGGTAGATGAGACGGAGAATACGGATCCATGACCGGCATGTGTGTAGAAGGGATTGCAGTAGACGGCGTAAGGCGGTTGTTTTGCGGCAAGTAGGAATATGGCGCGAGTGTTGGTCGTGGCCAGGCTTGCTTGTGCTACGTGCCGAATATCAGGGGTCAATTACCGGGTTGGCTGGATAGGCCCTTGCGAAACTTACGATCATGGTTCATTGGATGCGACGCTTCGTGGACGATCTCTGTCGGACTCTTGACGGCAAAGCTTGACCATTTCTTCATGGCCGCGCCGTATATGTTTTTCTTGGCATGCTGAGAAAAAAACCGTGAGTATTGAGTATACGAGGAGTATGTCGGCTCTAGTTTGGTCTAGGCCTGGCCGATTCGACTTACGTCGAAAGTCATCCATGAGATTGGTTCGTCGTGAGGAATCTCGGTTCTCTTCACCAGTTCCAACGTTAATTTCTCATCGTCGAAAGCTACAGTGAAGATGGCCCCCGGTGGAGTCCACGTTCCTATCATCAAGTGATGAATTGGCATTCTTGTTCCTTTTCACAAAATGGATTTGGAAGTATTCCGAAGCAGCCGTGGTCGACTCATACGATGAAGAAGTGAAAGTGAAGACTAAAGGAAGAATTAGACCCCGTCGTCTCGTCACTTTAGCGCGCAACTCATAATATCTCAATGGTTGATCATGACAACAAAACTTTCTTCAGCACGGATACGCATAGGGCTAGAGTTGTTCCCCGACAGCCCGATTCCTTAAACCGCCATATTTTCTAGACCTGTCATTGCATTGACAGCTCCAACGGTGCCTTATTAGATGGACAGTCTAGCAAGCGAAGACTCACTAATTTGTCCCCGCATCTACTTGGCGGCGATTATTGCACCATTGCTAGAGCGACGATGTGGGGAAGAACCGACGTTATCCTTCAAGTAATCGGCACCGCTAGCAGGAAACGGTAAATGGCCACGGCACACGGGTCAATTCACTGTCAGTTACCGAGTGAGCGGCTACCTGCTCGATCTCCCTCTCTATTTGCCACGCTGCAATGCCGGATAAACGCCTCATCGTCAGACTTTCCCCACCACGGACGTCTCGGTCCCAAGGTCGAATGTATTACACTACAGATAGTAGTCGTGCATTATTGGACCATTGGCATTTAATTGGATCCAATTGAGTCTTGGGATCGGGCTTCTTCCGTGATAATACCAACGTATAGTCGGCATCAGCATGTGCTAGGTACCTAATTCGAAATCATCAGGGTCCAGCTTCAGAAAGGTATAATGACCATGACCAAGGTTTCATCATAGAAACAGCCAATTACAGCGGTCTGAAAAGAAGCTATTTTCCCTACCTGCCTAGCTAGGTACATAAATAGCATCCCTTGGACCCGAAAATAACAGCGATCCCGAGCTAGAAGCTTTAGAAGCCCACCACTAAGCTCTTTGCCTTCTGAAGGGCGATTTATGATCCGAGAGGCAAGGGAGTTTAATATCGCTGCCGTGAGAGCAATCCGATCCACCTACGTCCACATATAGGGTCCTTTTGATGATGGCGGGGTTTTCTTTGATCTTCAGGGACCAACCTATCATAGGTCATCCATTGCTCATACTGCCCAGACAATCACGAGGGATGTGTGGTAAAACTTAAATGAAGTCGGTGTTTCTATTTGATAATTGTCCTTGTCCGTGTACTAAAGTTCCTCCTCACTGCGAAATATATATCTAGCCGGTGTCCAGACGACAATTCAGTCTAATTTGTATATACACTCATCTTCTACTCATACACACTTGCCAACGTGACCTTTACCAGCAGCTCATCTTACAACCTTTCATCTTACAAAAAAGCGATCGCACAAATACCTAACAAAATGGCCTCCGACGCAAACGGCGCGTCCAGCGCCCCCAAGCCCTCCAAATACGACCCCAACTTCACGCAACACGTCATCGACACCATGGGCCCCAACACCACGCCGCGGAACCGGGTCGTGCTGGGGGCGCTGATCCGGCACATCCACGACTTCGCGCGGGAGGTGGACCTGACGATCGACGAGTGGATGGCGGGCGTGCGGTTCGTCAACGAGGTCGGGCGGGTGTACTCGGAGTCGAAGCAGACGCGCAACGAGGCGCACCGGCTGTCGGACATCCTGGGGCTCGAGACGCTCGTCGACGAGATCGCGCACAAGATCGTGTCGGACACGGACGTGGACCCGACCTCGAGCGCGATCCTGGGGCCGTTCTGGAGCCCGAACGCGCCCTTCCGCGAGAACGGCGGCACCATCATCCAGGACCCGAACAAGGACGGCCGCGTCGTGCTCATGCACGGCGTCGTCTCCGACCTCGTCACCGGCAAGCCCATCCCGGGAGCCGTCTTCGACATCTGGCAGGCCTCGGCCAACGGCAAGTACGACTTCCAGGACCCCGAGAACCAGACCCCGAATAACCTGCGCGGCAAGTTCCGCGCCGACGAGAACGGCAAGTACTGGTTCTACTGCTACTACCCGACCGCGTACTCGCTGCCGCGGGACGGCCCCTCGTTCCAGCTGCTGAATATGATGGATCGGCATCCGATGCGGCCGGCGCATATCCACATCATGGTGAGTTTTTTTCTTTTTTTTTTTCTTTTTTTGTTTTCCTTCATAATTACGAGAGTACGAGATAAATCCGCAGTGCTAACACAAAGCCCGCAGGTAACGCACCCGGAGTACAAGGGCTGCACCACGCAGCTGTACCCCAAGGACGACGAGTGGCTCTCGTCCGACACCGTGTTCGCCGTCAAGGACGACCTGGTGGTCGACTTCAAGCCGCTCGAGGGCGACCCCAAGGCGAAGCTCGAGCTGGACTACAACGTCATCCTCGCGCCCAAGGATTACAAGGGGAAGTCTTTCTAGACCGGTTCTGTAAAGATTACCAATTTTCAATGACGGGTAATGAATTGGAGAGTCAGTGGACGTACATATCGGGGTTTAGATGAAGAGAGGGGTGAGGCGTGGGCTACTCAGTGCTCCTTTCGGCAAGGAGTGAAATGATAGGCGTTTTGAGGTCCGCGCCTATTTCTGTATGTATAACAAGGTGCATGACGATGTCTTCGAATTGCAGGTCGCTAAATAATGAATAAACGCCCATTGCGGCAACTTGAACATATGCCGATCCCGGCTCTTATCGTGAGGGAGACAGTTATTTAATTAGGGACAATAGGTTAACGTTCTAATGCGCCTGATCGATACTCATTAACGATACAATTACGACTACAAAGTACAACTGAAAAGCCATCACTAATCCTTCAACTCCGAACCCAACCAGTTAACGCGCCCCAGCCAACCAGTACTAGCCAGTGGCGTTATTGCCCATCAAACACCGCATCAAAAATCTCCGATCCAGTAAAACTAGATCACGAAGTTACGCACTTCATCCTCAGCCGTCTCCTTGTCAAGACAAAAAGCGACACCCTCGCTAATCCCAACGCACCGACTCTTGTCATCGCAAGATTCCTCGTAGACCCATTTCCCTTCAGGACTACAACTCTCGACAGTCGTGTTGCCCGGGGCACACCGCTGCCATCCCTGCTCACAGACTGAATCTAGAAGAGATTCCTCCGCTAAGAATTGGGATAGGAGGGAGTCGAAACTGTCAGCTTGCTCCGCGAAATCCCAGGTGCAGTTAACCTTGGTGTTGTAGAGCTGCGTGCAGTTGGGGCACTGTAGCGATGAGGATTAGTAAATATGTAATTCGTCAACAAGATCGGAAGTTATAAGGGGAATACTGGAGGTTCAGTCATAAATCCATAGGGGATTTTTCAACGACGTACCGGGCCGAAATCCTCCCACTGATGCGAAGCCATGCACACATTAATACGATCCCCATTGCACTTCACCTCGCCTCCGAAACAAGGGTTATCCTTAGCCACTTCCATATCGGGGTCAGGTTTCAGGGCCCCGGTTGGAAACTCGAAATCAGGCAACTCCGGAGCCGGAGTCCGAGCCGCAGCTGCAACTGGAGTCACCTCTAGCACCGTCGGAGAAGCCGCGGGCTTAGTAGGATCCGCAGGTTGAGCCGTGTTCGGCTGCTCGCAGGAGACGCCTCCGGTGCCGCTCTCCAGGCACTTCGCGCACCGCTGGACGGACTGCCATTGACGGCCCGCGTTACAGAACTCGAACCAGTTACCCCTGCACCTCAGAGCGCCCATCTTACAGACGGGGTGGGGGGGTATAGGCGGTAGGTTGTCGGGAGCGCAGTTGACGACGCCGTGGCCGGTCTCTTTGCAGTCGAGGCACTTCTCCAGCTTCTGCCAATGGTACCCGTCGGCACAAGCCTCCATCCACTTGCCGGCGCACCTGAAAGTGCTGATCTGGCAGGGCGTCGGCGTCGGCACGTTGGGGTTCAGAGGGGCGCAATTTATGGTCCCGTCCGAGAACGTGTGGCATTCCTTACAACGCTGCACTACCCGCCACCCGGTACTATCATCGTAGATCTCCTCGACGGGGCCGTTGCAGCGTAGGTCCCCCGTATGGGGCCCCGGCTTGATATGTTCGTCCGACGTGAGAGAGATCGTCGTCGTCTTGCTGGTTGAAGGCCTCCCAGGGGGCCCATGGTACGCGTCCTCGAAGAGGTAGGGGGCCGAAGTCGTGGTCGGATCAGAACGCTTCAGCTCGGCGTGCGAGTCTACGCACCCGGCGTCTTGCGTGTGCTTGTCCTCGAAGCAGTGGGCTGGGGGTATGCATTGGATGTTGTCGACCCATGTACCTAGTGAACTACAGCGGTAGACGGTGTCTTCGTGGCACATCTTAGTCCCGGGGGCGCATGGCCTGATTTCGGGATGTTTGTCGGGTAGGACGCCTCCTAGGACTGAGACAGAGAGGCTGATGACAGCCAGGAGGAGATAAGAGAAAGAATTCATGTTGGGATTGGCGAAGTTGTATTGGGTTTGGCTGGTTATGTGTGATAGACAAAGTGGTTGCGATAGAAACGATGGTGTAGTGAGGGATACACGTAAATATATGGATGAAGCAAAGCAGAGCTACTTTGTTTGCATTTGTTCTGTCAGAAAGAATGATAGCCAAGATCGTGGTCTAGTAGAAGTTCAAGATGAGCTGGGGAGGTTCGGAAGATCATGGTCTTATATACAGAGAAAATAGACAACAAGATGACTTCCATGGTTAAGGTTCACCTTGAGTTCATAGTAGGAGCGGCCCTTTGCTTACATACCTCGAGGTAAGAGTCATAGAGATTGCACATAGCCGCTGCCGTATTTGCCCTCGATGCTATAAACTATCAAAGCAGCGTCGAGTCTACCATCTGTAAGTTGCGTGTTGACCATTAAGGATATCTGTGTAACTACCCCTATCTCAGAAGTCAACCCTAAGCTTAAGCTTCTAATTGGTTTCTATCTCCTGGGCTTAAAGTTTACAACCTTGGAGTATCTACAACGTCTGCGCCCTACAACAGGAACGCGCCTTGGCATTTTTTTCAATTCACGTCCTCTAAATTGACCTTCTCACGGCTAGGTCGTTGTTAGTTCTTACGAAATGTACCCACATTGTAAGATTTAATTGGTAAATATCTAACTGAGAAGAGAGTTCTAGGTGTGCTATTGAAGCAAATGCGCTCACGCCTCATGATTTTCTCACCACGTTGGGGTGTATCCAGCTTCATAAACTTCTTCTGAATGCAATTAAAGCTCCCATTTTCACGAAGTCCTGTATCTTTATCGACCTAGGCAGTGAATATGCGTCCCCTGACCCTACTTACCTTGGTACCTAGGTAAGTTTTTTACCATAAGCATGGCCACATCTAGATTAATAAATGTCTTACGGCAGAGTCACAAAGCATCTATTTTTTTCAAGATCCAAGACTGCTCCAGGTCTGAGGTGTCCGAAGATCGGGCACTTATGATGTCTAGTTCTGTTATTCTCTAAACAATTCCATTTGGTATTTTCGAGTTAAACGTTTTTGAAAGTTGTTTCTTCAATCGTACGTAGGTATGGATGTCAATGCAAGGAAGAAAGTGAGTCTTTACGCCGCCCCTTATCCGATTGGTAAATATCTTACATGATTGTTAGGTTTCACCAACAAACCATCTGCGACTATGGCATGATGGCGATTTTAGAATAGGGCACCATATTTGCCAATAAATTCACAGTGACTACCCGAAAAGGGACGAGTGCCCACGGAGATTTGCAACCCCAAGATTCGGTAGCCAACCAACATCAAGTAACTGTCCAAACCAGGAATTTCCCCATGGGGAAATGGTTCGCCTATAACCAGTCACGATTGGTTCCGCTTCAGTTTAAGGTCTGTTTTGTTCCATGTCACGTCTGAGATGTGATTTGTTCAGAGGATTTTGATTGTTTGAACAAGCTGATACGTGCGTAGGTACTAATTACCTACCTCCCTTAGGTGCTTAGGTAGTCTTCCGACGACTTATACATATGCCTTATTGTATAGTCCAATTCGAAGTCACTCGTTGCCATGAGGCTAAAATCGGATATAACTAGGTAAGTACCTAGGTATAGTCCTATAGCCTAACTCTTAAGACTGACATTTTCCTTGATCCTCTGACCTGAACTTGGCGTATCCTTGGATTACTACATTGTGATCTTTTAGTTAGCTCTTGGCGTTATCCGCGAATCCTGACCTAGAACCATTCTTGACTCGTTGTAAGTCACGAGAACTACACCTGTTCATCTAGCGATTTGCAACGCATATAACGATCTTAGAACTCGGATTACAATGTAGTATTTGACAAAGTTCCTGTGTACGTCGATCTGTCTTGGTGAAACAAAAGAAGCCGTGATAGATAGAGGATAAAGGAATACTGCATAATAAACCCCCCGCATCTTCAGCTGCTTGGACATTTTCTGGGGCTGCTAAGAGTCTCCAATTCCCCAAATATAGCCACGTTTTAGAAGGGTTAGCGCTATCCTTCATCACTAGGGGTGGGTTTGTTCTGTCGTCATCGGCACCTTATTAAGCCCTATTCAGTAAAGCTTAACCAAGATCCGGCTGGAAGCTGCGGTCTAGCCATCCCTTAGCTCATAATCTCTTTATAAAGGCCCGGGGGGTTTTATCGGTGCCAAGACATTGTGGTCCGTGATCACCTCATCAAGGACCCTCTATCCTCGCGGAATCCTCCCGAGCTTCTAATTCTCTTTCAGCCTTCATCCAACCTCATTGTTTTGAGCATCAACTTCAATCACGACCACATGTTCATTGGATATCCTTAATTGATTTGTATTATTCGGCGCTGTGGCTCGTCTATTCGAGCCCATCGCTTGTCCGATACTACTATTGCTGGTGCTTGCGGCGACGCCAGCGCGCTGACTTAACCAAATCTTAACCTGTCGCGCGCGCTACTAGCTACCCAAGTAGCATAGTAAGCCATGGCTACCATAACCGCTACAGTGACGACGACATTGCTGTCTACCGTCACTACTACTACGAGCGCCGCCGCTGCTACCACCACCGGCCCTGCTCCTCAAGGAGGCATCTTGGAAGGTGTTTTGCCAAATACTTTCAGCACCTCCAACCCCATCCAGCTTTTCATTATTCAGGTAAGATTCTGCTATTCTCACCGGGCTTACTCAGCCTCACCTCCGTTACCGCCTCTAGGGCGCCGACAAGTGTAAACAAATGCGCTGTAATTTCAGCCCTGAATTATAAACATGAAAAGCCTCGGAGAAGATATCTGCTCACTTCTTGCATCTAGGCTGGTATCATTATTATTCTATGCCGCCTTCTTCACTATCCTCTGTCACTCCTGGGACAACCCCGCGTCATCGCCGAGGTCATTGGCGGTATTCTCTTGGGTCCTTCTGTCCTGGCGCGCATCCCGGGTTTTACAAATGACATCTTCCCGACGGCTTCTATGCCGGTGTTAAACAATGTCGCCAATCTTGGTCTAGTCTTGTTCCTCTTCCTCATCGGTCTCGAGGTCGATATACGCCTATTCACCTCCAATTGGCGCGTCGCCTTGACTGTTGGCTTAGCTGGCATGATCCTGCCCTTTGGGCTTGGTTGTGCCATTGCTTGGGGATTGTATAACCAATTCCACAACGATCCCAACACTGTCGAAATCGATTTCGGCGTCTATGCTCTCTTTATTGGTACCGCCATTGCTATCACCGCCTTCCCTGTTCTCTGTCGAATCCTGTCCGAGCTCAATTTACTGGGCACTCCCGTCGGTGTTACCGTCCTGGCTGCTGGCGTTGGCAACGATGTTGTCGGTTGGATCCTTCTGGCACTTTGTGTCGCGTTAGTCAATAATGGCTCTGGTTTGACCGCGCTTTGGGTTCTCCTTGTTGCTGTTGGCTGGGTTCTGTTCCTGGTTTTTGCCATTAAACCTGTGTTCCATTGGGCTTTGAGGAGGACAGGCAGCATTCAAAATGGTCCAACTCAGGGCATGATTGCTGTTACGATTTTGCTAGTCCTTACTTCCTCTTGGTTTACAAGTAAGTAGTCTGTCACTCACATTCTCGAACGATGGCTGACTCCTTTAGGCATTATCGGCGTGCACGCCATTTTTGGCGCCTTCTTAGTTGGCCTGATCTGCCCACACGATGGCGGGTTTGCTATCCACGTAACCGAGAAAATTGAAGATCTCGTGACAGTCCTCTTCCTGCCCCTTTACTTCGCCTTGTCTGGTCTAAGCACAAACCTTGGTCTCCTGAACGATGGGATTACCTGGGGCTATGTTATCGGAGTCATTGTTGTGGCATTCTCGGGTAAGATCATCGGTGGTACACTGGCAGCTAGGGCAACCAAACTCGTCTGGAGGGAAAGTCTCACCATTGGAGTACTAATGAGTTGCAAGGGTTTGGTGGAACTGATCGTATTGGTAAGTCATGATGATCTGTCCAGACTATGGTGATAAATATACTGATGAGTATACAGAATATTGGCCTCCAGGCGAGAATCCTATCACAAAGAACCTTCACCATATTTGTTGTCATGGCTCTAGTCACCACGGTTGCTACAACACCCCTGACAAAATTGCTGTACCCTCCGTGGTACCAAAAGAAGCTTGACCAATGGAAACGAGGCGAAATAGATTGGGATGGAAAGCCATTGGAGGGCTCTAATCAATCCACATCTCTCTCCCAAATACAAGATACGGGCATACGTCGTCTCCTGGTTTATCTTCGTTTGGATAGCTTGCCTAGTCTTTTCACATTTATCTCTCTTCTAGGCGATGAAAACGTCACACCAAAGTCCAAGCCTGGAGAACCATTAGATTCCCATGCTAAAGATGCCGGTAAGGTCTCAGTTTCGAAAGCGCGACCCCTTGAAGTCCACGGCCTGCGTATTGTTGAGCTTACCGAGCGTACATCGTCCGTAATGAAAGTTACCGAGGGCGATGATTACGCTCGCCGCGATCCTGTGGTCAATGCATTCCAAACATTTTCTCGGCTTCATGACGTGGCAGCATCGGGCAATGTAACAATTGCTCCCGAGGACGCTTATGCCCGAACGGTTGTTGAACAGGCTTCAATCCAGGAGTCCGACTTTGTGCTTATCCCGTGGAGTGATGTTGGGAGCAACAAGGATGATTCAACCACTCCATTCAAAGTCTCAGTTGAAGATCGCTTTTCCGGAAAAGCACATTTGGATTTCATCCGAACAGCGTTAGCCAAAGCCGTTTGCAATACAGGTGTCTTCATCGATAATAAATTCAGCACTGCCTCGAATAAAGGCCGGCCGACCCTACCTCGAACGATCAGCAACGTCTCGATGCGCAGTCATCGAGATGCTGTAGTTCCTCCTATCACAGATAAGTCTCATAGGATCTTCTTCCCTTACTTAGGCGGTGTAGATGACCGAGTTGCTCTGCGGTTCGTTCTTCAACTTGCCAAAAACCCGCTTATTACGGTTACAATTGCCCACCTGAATTTTGCTGAAGGGGATGATGATATCGTGGGCATCTCTGAGGGGAACTTGGATTCTGTCTCGCCGGAGTCCATCTCTAAGGATATTATCAACACAGAGATAACAGCACAAGATTCGTCTCTCATATCTACATTACAATCCAGCCTTTCTCCCGAACTAGTTAATCGCGTCACATTCACTGAAGTTTCAGTTACCGCCAGCTCAGCAGCGAGACAAGCCACCGAGTTGGCGAAGGAGAACGTCGGGAAGAATTCGCGCAATGCAGGGGACATTGTCATTGTTGGGCGTAGACATCCTAAACTTCCTACTAGCTTAAGAGCAGTAGACCAGGGCACCACAGAATATGAGTTGCAGAAGACGATAGGAGTATTCGGTCAGTCTATGGCTATGAGCGAGCTCAAGGCTAGCGTGCTAGTCATCCAGGCCGGAGGGTCAGGGCATGAGCTTTGATTTGAATTGCTTCAGGCATCAGAGATCGTTCCAGTATAGGAATTTCGATCTAGTTCTTTGGTTTAACTTATAATGAATTGATATTGGGTCTCGGACTTTAGGCACTTGGATAGATGCTTTAGAAAATGCAACGGTAAAGACGAGATGACGGGTATGATGTACTATCCGAAATATCTCATTGGATACCGAGATATGGCATGCTTTGATAGTATTTAATGAAATATTCGATCAGTATTTGGTTGGCTGAATGTAAACATGCTATTTGACAAGGTCTAATTCTTCGTTATAACGACTAACAACGAATCAGGAATTAACTTCACAGGAGATATTCCCCTATACAAATACCAAATCAAGCTCCTCACCGCTCCCCCATGCCGTCTTACTCCTCCAATAAGTCCATCTATCCTGCCGTCGATCTTATCGACATCCCGTCTGACAGCCCAGTTCGTGGGTAAGACCCGAGCGATCGCCGGTATGTCAGCATAGCATAGCATCGTCAGCCCTACATGTTATTTTTTTTCTAGATCACTCGCTCGGCAGCTTATGCGAATGGCCTGCCTTACTTACCCTACGAACCTTGCGCATGTAAGAACTCTATCTCGACCTAGCCATCGCCAGACGTCAGATGCTGACCCGCGAGACCGGCACGTGGCGTTATCTACTTTCGACGACATCTTTAACTTTTGTCCTCGAGCTTTTATGCCAAGTGAAAACTATTATTCCTCGACAGTGACATGTTGGTTGGGTATGCTTGGCTTTGCGGGCAACTGTACCATGCCATATAAATACCTATTCCCCGGGACCGATAGCGAGACCGAGGAGATCAACACGGGAAATATACCTTGCTATGTGATGTATCTCCTCGCTTAGAAATAGACAATTGTCGCTACCCGAGTAAATGACGAAAATGGCGTTTTCGAATTCGCTCGTGACATCACCGCATTCCTTTTTGCTTCCTCTTCTCGTATCGACGATCCCCTCACCAGCGTTTCTACATACCCCGTCGACTTTACGCCGTATCCAGACGCGGCGTACGTCTATCCAACACAGTTCCTGGTACCAACGATACGTAGCTCGTGTTATCTCCATCGGGCCCCATGTCCACTACTTAAAGCCCGTGCTCAACCCAGACCCCTAGGAGCCATCAATCGGTAAACCTTACCCAACAAAATCTAGCTGCCGCCGTACCGCGGGTCCAGAAAGCGCAAAGTCCATCTTTTAACGGAGATACACTGCCTTAGCACCGTCTCCATAGTGTAGATGGATATCTCGCGATCAGGCAGCCGAATACTCAAATTCACAAAGTACAATACTAGCGCGATCCTCACTAGGCACCGTTAAAGATGCCCATATCCTAACCAATATGAGCATCTAGTTAGGGTCGATGTTAAAGTACTATGGGGATAGAACAAGCTGCTCCCCCCCTTCCCCCGGGGGCCAAATCCTATGGGATCAAAAGGCCTAGCGCAGAAGATCGTGAACGCACCCTCGCCTCGATCATTACCATGCCATGTTACTGTAGCTTGAATACTACATTATCGGGACCGCTCTTGAGGACCCCCGAACGATGTATTGTACATACATATCTCCCCTCCCCACTTCCCATTCCCTACAGTATCTTTTAGGGCTCTGGGGCCAAGCTAGCGAGCGTAGCCCGCGGTCCCAAATCGTCGCTCCTCGCGCTCGTTTCAGGCTAGGCCCAAAGGCCGTCCGATCCCCCCGGTGGGCAGTGGCAGGGATACTTTGTATGTATCTTCCCGTCCTCGTCGCAAAAAACCCACGCTGTAGCTTCAGGCGGCTCGGCCAACCAGAAGGGCGGAAATCCGAGCCGCCAGGTTACTTCGCGTCTCCCCCATTCCCACACTCTATCCTGTGAAGAGTAAAGTACGATCCAAAGCTCGCCCCATATCTCCATCTACGTACAACGACAAAAGACTAGTTCCTAAACCCGGTGTATTTTACTAGTATCTACGAAAGGACATACTACTAATATCATGCAGTAGATAGGTGGGTTGAGTAAGTGAGTGGATGCAAGTGGGTTTGTGGGTTTGGATGGAATAGACGGATATACGTAGGTAGTATAGGTATGGGAATGTAATAAGATGTTTATCTGATTGACGTCCATGCATGAACGGGCGGCCAGAGACGGCTTGAGAGTTGCGTGGGTGCGTAGTTGTAAATGAGACAAGTTACAACATCATCTACCCTCATAATGTGACGGAGAACGAAGATCGCATCGCGTTTGCGACGCACGCACCGCACGTGGCTATGAATAGGATAACTAGGCTGTGGCCGATCTATATATGTATATGAATATGCAGCTAGCTCGAGAAGTTGGTGGTGTTGGGTCGATCAGGCCGATCAGCCCAACCACCACTTATAGCAGCCTCCAAAATTCACTACCTAGACGTTTGTTGGCTTAATGTTAATGAAAGTGCAACTCAAGGAAGAGCTGAGACGGGCAAGGACTTAATGTGCTGTTTGATAGGATGGTATGTAATTAGTATCATGGATGCATTTGAAAATCTCTTGGACAGATAGACGAATAGACGGGAATTACCGCGGAACCGAAATTAGGAAGATAGAATAAACGGTAGCCGCTTTCATTGATTTGGCAGCCTTGGGAATGATATCTTACTTCTAGTTTCCTAAAGAGCATACCTAACTGCCTATCCTCCGTATGAGGCTGCTAATAGCCCTAAGTCCCATCCAATCTCATTTCATCCACACCAACGCCATCTCTATTCAGCTTCTCTACAAAGTACTCGACTTCCCTCTGAGTTCCTGACCTTCCCTTTCCAACAGTAACCCCATTCTAATTCCACAACTTCCCTATCAGTTCCTCCGAGATCAAAACCACCTACCTAGGTATGTATACCAGCCAACAAGCCACTGGCAGTCCCTTAGCCCCTTAAGTCCCAGCCTCGCACGAAATCCTCTCTTCGCACGGGACCCTCGGCCCCCAAGGCAAACCCACGTACGAGTCATACCGGCCGAAGGAACATTCCCTACGCCTTCCCTGGAGTTACACGACATGTCCCAACTATCTACCCGAAAAAACGCCAAAATTACCCGATCCGGCTCTCGGTAGGCGAAGGGAAAGCGCCCCTTCACGTCACGTCTCTGCGCAATCCGTATCGCACTGCATCAACGATCCGCGGGGCAGAGCAGAAACAGAAGTAGAAGTAGAAGTAGAAGCAGAAAACATTCTTGAGCATGCGCCCCCAAAGGATGATCTTTGGAGGTTGGGGGGTGGGAAAGGCTGAGCTGAAAATGCGGCTAAACGTCAAGCCTCGCCGCCCGCGGTTTCGGATCTGGCCTTAACCTTTCCTACGCCCTTCTGTGAGAAGGGCCGGCGGTTACCATCTCTCTTGCTCGCGCCATCTGCGCTGTGCTATGTTGTGCGATCGAAGGGACGCTTGGCCTTCCATAGGTAGGTAATGTGGATTTACTTGACGTACCGTGACCTAAAAACAGGTTGACGCTTTTCAGCCTCCTGTCTGCTAGGCAGAAGATAGATAGGTAGATCAAATCTACATATGGCCCATTTAGCCCCAGAGGCGCACCGCGAAAGCACCGAAAACAGGCAGACGGCCTGTGGCACAGTTGCGGCATCTTCCATCTAGGTATTTACCATCATTACCATACTTACCCTATTTACCTCTTACCACTACATACCTGACTTACCCCACGAAGCCGGGCGAACTTCCTCCCCACCGAGCTTCAAATGGGGGCGTAAAAAAAGAAAAAAGGGGTCCTCGTGGCTTGGTCTGAGACCTTAGCCTCGCTGAATATGTTCATTTTCAACGTTCTGCCCCGAGACGTTGGAACCATACCAAGGCAAACCGCCAACCGCCAACCAACCGTCTGGGGTGGAAGGGACGGGAAGACCTACCTACCTACCGGCAATGAGCGGTACAGTGTATGAGGTAGGGTAGTTCGCTCGCATCGCCGCCGCATTCTTAATTGCCAAGGTAGCTAGTATGTAAATGTGGTATCGCAGCAAGACCACGCGCGCATGTCTGAGACATCGAAACCCACGTGCGCTACCAATTTTACCTTAGAAACATTCCGTACGACTCACCTCGCCATACCTTCCATCCTTGGAATTCCGGGGGCAAAGCTTCGACGAATTCCAGAAAACAGTAAAACGACGTAAGGGGACGTAAGCCTCCGAGAGAATAAGAGAGAGAGAAAGTTCAATGTCAATGCCGTATGTAAAAGAACCAACCATGCGACGAAGGTCGACAGTCCGGGGTATATGACGTCGTAGCCCATTTCCCAAGCCGGCGATTTCTCGCATCTAGCTTGCAAGGCGGCGAGCGAATGCAAGCCTACAATCCTGCAAACCCCCTCGCTTCTTCAAAAGAACAATCTAGCTCCATGTTCGTTCCAAGTTTGGAAGATTGAAACTAATTGAAATCGTGATAACCATGTTACACAGCATATCGACCGGTCTCAAGCTGCCCATTCCTCCATCTGGGCGGCGAGATTCTTGGTTGCTTTTGCTTCGAAGATCGCGGCCGAGCCGGCTCCATGTTGCGACGCTAAAAACAACCCGGCGCCACGCCCCTCCATATTTCTTGTCGGTGCTTCGCTGCTAGCTGTGCCGCACGCGCAATTTGCGAGTAACCTCCAGGGCTAGCTAGCCGCTAAGAAAGAACCTCTGCCTACAGGCCGCTAAAAACCTGGGAGATAGGGCAGGTAATAGTAATAGTCGAACTTCCAAGTACGGTTTGGGAAATCTATGCGAAGCCCCCCAGCCCGCTAATAAGTAGATACAATTAGTTCATATAATTAGTTAATTGTGGCCAGCCCACCTAGCACACAGGCAAAAGGCACCAGGGGAACCAGAAAATACTAAACCCGAAACATTAGCAGCGTTCCCCAGCTGTCGGTTTCGTATGCTCCTTCTCATGCCACGTTGTTGATCTGATCGGTTACGCCACGAGATTGGTCGGCGGTCCCATTTTGGCAACATTACTCGACGCTAAGCTGAGCTTCGTCTAGTCTCCGCTAACTTCCCTAGTTCTCGAACGGACCGGGGGATGGGGATGATACCCAGTGTTTGAATACTCACCTGACTGGGCATATTTGTACTGTATCGTATCGTGTATGTAATAGAATAGATTGTGGAATCGTTCGGCAGAAACAATCCGCGGCGCATGAGGATAGGATGGGATGGGGAGGAGATCAATGGGATGATTGCCCAGGCAAAGTGCAACGAATGCGAT